GGCCGGACAGGAAGTGGCTAAGAAGCTTTGGAAGCAAAAAGTTTGATTTCTCCATATCGGCCATTAAACTGGGAACCCCTCACCATGTGTAGGTGAGAAACTGACACATAAAATACCATCCACAATGCTGCTAGCCAGTGCCTTACAATATATATAATACACATGTACAATATTTTCTACTTCAACTCAAAGAAAGACTACACATTTGTAGTCACCTGTCAGTGTCCATCAGTGCCAGCTGTCAGTGCTCATCCATGCCACCTGCCAGTGCCCATCAGTGCCACATCAATGCCACATATCAGTGCATACCAGTGCACATCAATGCCACATATCAGTGCCCATCTGAGCTGCCTTTCAGTGTCACCCATCAGTGCCAGTCAGTGCCACCTATCAATGCCAATCAGTGCCACCTATCAGTGCTGCCAATCAGTGTCACCTATCAGTGTCCATCAGTGCAGCCTATCAGTGCCCATCACTGCAGCCTCATTAGCGCACATCAGTGAAGGAGAAAAATCACTTATTTACAACATTTTATAAAACTAAGAAAAAAAAAAATTTTTTTTTCAAAATTTTCAGTGGTTTTTGGTTTGTTTAAGAAAAAATACAGAGGTGATTAAACACAAAGCCTTCTGGGTGCAGGCGGCAGAGAGGGTACAGTTTGCATGAAGCGCAATTGTCATTCAAAGTGTGACCGCTGAAAGCCCAAAGGAAGGGGGTATAAGTGCCCTGTAGCTAAAAACCATCCTGACATAACAGCATTCATGGTGCTGTCAAGTGATATAAAATTTAGCACATAAGCACACATACCCTTTCATTGCTCCAATCGCTGCAAAACGAAGTAACGCCTGAAAACAAAAATGTCATATTGGAGGCTTTTCTTTACAAGCCTCCTATCAGTCCGCAAGGGCCTGTCTGCGGTGTGTTCCATTCTGGATGGAGGTGCAACTGTCGGTCACTTTTAGATGGATTAACACACTAAAGATGACTCAAACAAACTTAAGCAATACAGCAACATCTTTTTTTTTGGGTTAAAACGCTAAATGAAAACGCCTAAGCTAAATGGTTTGTCCCAAAAAAAATTTTTTTTCTCCAAAAATGCCGGACTACCATTTATATAGTGGTTTTTTGGTTAAGCGTTAAACTCCCTTAGAAAAAAATAAAAAAGACTCAGAGGTGATTAAACACAACCAAAATAAAGCTCTATCTGTCACAGCAAAAAAAAAAAAAATTTCATATGGGTACAGTGTTGCATGACCGCTAATGGGTTCCAATTGTCATTCAAAGTGTGACAGCGCTGAAAGCTGGAAATTGGCCTGGACAGGAAGGGGGTATAAGTGCCCTGTAGGCTAGTGGTTAAACCATCCTCCAGACTGATAACTCCGGATTCAAACAGATTTTGTCAAGTGATATATAAATTATTTAACACATAAGCACACATACCCTTTCATTTATAACTCCAATATACTGATGTAAAGAAGTAATAAACCTGAAAACAAAAATGTAACATATTGTGGCTTGCCAATTCTTACATTTGGTAGCTGTATTACTTTTTTTTTAGTTTTTTTTTTCACCTGGTGATCCAGCCAGTAACACACTTCCTGTCTTAGGGTGTCTCCATTCTGGATGGAGGTGCAACTGTCAATCTGGAAAGAGGGTAGTGTTAGATACTAGCAAATTTAGATGGACTTGACTAACACACTAAAGATGAACTCCAGCTAACACTTCTTAAGCAGATACAGCAACATCTTTTTTACCTTTTGGGATAAAGGTTTTACATAAATGAATATACGCCGATCATCATAAGCATTGCTGTCAGTGCTAAATGGTTTGTCCCAATCCTCTAACTGTCACTTCTGCTAGACAGCTTGGTCTTTTAAAGGAAGTTGAAAAAAATAGCAAATGTACTGGCTGGATGGAAGGTGAAAATAAAGGGAAAAAAAAAAAAAAACCCAAAACAAAATGCAGCCACTACATTATTGGTTAGATGCAATATAAAAATGTGCGTTTATGTTTATCACCATTCTAATTACACAAATTTACATAGATATCATAAACGGGATAAACTCAACTGGTATTAGTGTCAGTAAACCATGCAAAAGACAGAGACACCCAGGAACAGTATAAGCAGGTTTATCCTGCACTTTTATTCAGCAAGGCATTAAAGATACACAGATCAATGCAGGAGTGAGTTGTACAGCAAGGCTACAGCATAAAACAAACAGCCCTTGACTCACCTAAAAACAAAAAACATCCTGTCATCCTGTCGTCTAACTAAACTCAGGTCAGTTCCTACCTGGTGAGGTGCTCCCTAATGGGTTCCCCAAAACAAACAGGCATCACATGTACCTTCTTAGTTTTTTGCCAGAATTTCAACCTTTTCACCCAGCAACAGGCTCACACAGCAGAAGGGGAGAGCAAGAGAGCCCTGAGCATCAGTCAGCTCACATATATAAAGGCTTGTGGACAAATGAGATTAATCAATGAGGTCTGGCACAACGATAAGACATGGATCTAGTAACCGAGGCTTTATCCTATCCAAAGCTTAACCACTTCAAGTTCGGACACTTTCACCTCCTTCCTGTCCAGGCCAATTTTCAGCTTTCAGCGCTATCACACTTTGAATAATTGCGCGCGGTCATGCAACACTGTACCCATATGAATTTTTTAGCATTTTTTTTTAGACAGATAGAGCCTTTATTTTGGTGGTATTTATTCACCACTGGATTTAAATTTTTTTTTTTGCTATAATAATGAAAAAGGTAACGTATTCCCACCCACATGACTTTGGTGATAGCTTAAATCCTGACCCCATTCTTGATCAACCCCCGGTATTACTGTTACTACAAACTATGCTTGTTTTCCTCCCCCCCCACTTTTTTTTTTCCTCCCTTTTCTCTCTCCCTCTCCCTTCTCCTCTTCAACTCTTCTTTTTCTTTCCTTCTTTTTTTCTCTCCTCTTGTCCTTTTGTTACATGCTCTGACAGTTGTGACTTTTTTTACCAATGGAACACTAGGCATGCGATTTTTCCTATTCTCCCCCCCCATTTCATCAGCGGCCCCTACGATAATTTGAGCTGGCTTCCAGTTATTTGTCTATTTGTCATCAGTTTTTGGTCTTGCCTTATGTGCAGGCACTGCATCTATCCTCCCTCCCGCTACAGCCCTGCATGGCGAAGTATACGTATAGGAGGTTCGACGCAGCAACATCCCAGATAGCACCACAATAACGCCTGATTACTACAAGTATAAACCTGGTCGTAGCTAGTTCAATACCGTTGCATGTTTTTTTGCATTTGATTTACTGCTGTGACGCTGTATGCAGTGCCCATTGTCTCTTTTATGTTCATTTTCCATGTCTTTTGTAATCCAGTTCTCCAGGTTATGCACTTGCATCAATAACCCATTATCTTTTTTTTTAGGGGAAAAAAGGGAAGCCTACCCGCCCCCTGAAAAAGTCCTCCTACCACTCCAAAACCATCCCCTCCCTCCTAGATTTAGAAAAAAAGGGCCCTCGATCCCCTGTTTTTGTATTGGTATTATACAATGTTGCAAATAAATAATCTTTCTTTTATAGAAACTGATCTAATAATAATAATATAATAAAATATATATATGGCCAAAATGTATTCACCCTAGCTATATTTTTCAGTAAAAAAACCAATAACCCCCAACAGGTAGTTTTCAAATTTCCATTATTTTTGCAAAACTGATTTGATCAGTTTTGCCCTAATAATTTTTACAGCTGTTTATATATGAGGGAAATATATGAAAATATGACCTGTTGGGGGTCCATTTTTTGGAGTTTTAAACATACTGTCACCCTAGCAGCACAATGTCACCATAGTGACACTGTACTACTTGTGGGGAGTGATGAAGATTTTTTTTTTTTTTTACAATTGATGCTTTTACACACATAAAGGCTGTAAAAGCAATCATTTCTTGCAGCCATTGAGAAATACTGTGCGAGCTGTGATTGGTCACAGCTTGTCACATGGTACAAGGCTGTTGTGAATAGCCTTGTACCATGTGATCATTCACAGATTTCACTAATAGTAAGCAATGATGTCAGATGTGACATCTTGCTTATTACTATTCATGATCGGGACCTCACACAGAGGTCCTGTACAGCGATTGGTGTTCCGTTGTGTCCTCATGGATCGCAGTGCCGCGCACTCCCAGGGAGCGTGCACAGGCTAAAATAGCGGGCACCATTTATGAACGGCAACACGCCCCTGCACTGCTCCCGTCCAGCCATTTAAATACATGGGCCGGACGGGAAGTGGCTAAGACGCTTTGGAAGCAAAAAGTTTGATTTCTCCATATCGGCCATAAAACTGGGATCCCCTCACCATGTGTAGGTGAGAAACTGACACATAAATACCATCCACAATGCTGCTAGCCAGTGCCTTACAATATATATAATACACATGTACAATATTTTCTACTTCAACGCCAAGAAAGACTACACATTTGTAGCATGTCCCCTACCAGTGTCTTTCCTCTTCCTGTATTGCCAACCCAATCTGTCCTGTGCACCAGCTGGTGTACTTCTGCTACTACAGTATATACAGATACAGATCCATTTCATACAGATCAGAACAATAGCTGTGTTTTATTTGGAACATTTCCACCAATTTATAAATCTTGCACTGCTGATGTGTGGTGAAAAATGGTGACTATTATGCAGACTGGTGGAAAAAAAAAACCAGCAAGAAAAAAAAACTATTTCCAGCTTCCAGAAAGCTCACTGCCCCCACTAGCCCCCCCCCCAGTTCCTTTTAGTGTCTGGCTACCTTTGGCATATGACATCCTACATGTGCAGTTAACTTTTTGTTGAGGTGGCAAGCAGCACAGCATATTAATAAATTACAGGGGTCTGAATTATATTGGATTCTTTTATTTAATCCAAGTATTGTAAAGTAAAGAGGAAAAACTGTCCAGAGTAATTTGGAAAATTACAGTTTTGAACTTAAACAGAGCTCTAAGTTGTGATGTTTCCTATTACCTTCCTCTCAACATCTTCACATTCTGGAAATCAAGGAATTTGGGTCTCCGACGCACTTCTTTCTCGGTCGTAAAATATATGTTTCTTTGCTTCATGTCTGAAAGGGGAAACCGTTAATTAAATGAAGAGTAATGACTAAAAGGAACATTATAACAAAGAACAATAGAACTTCCATTATAGAAAAGAATTACTGAAAATATTCATAATGCATGATATGTTCAGAATATATTATATAACAGCTCCCAAACTGTACAGTTACTATGGCTGAGCATAATTTATTCTATACTAGGGGTAGCCACATTAGGCTTTGCAGAGGCTGACACAGAACTTTCACCCCTCTCTTGCTTTTTATAAACACTGTATGGCCAAAGGTAAGTGGACCCCTCTGAATTATTGAGTTCAGGCGTTTCCAGTGAAGGGTACAGTTTAATACTACAGTATTCCAAGACATTTTGGACAACTGGGTTCTTTTATAATGTGTGGTAAGAGTTTGGGAAAGACACTTTTTTGTTCCAGCATGTTCCAGACCTTTTTCCATTCCAGCATGTCTCTCCCTCTGTGCACAAAGCCAGCTCAATAAAGATATGTTGTGACAAGTTTAGTGTGGAGGAACTGAAGTGCCCACACAAAGCTCTGACCTCAACCCTATGATCAAATGAAATGCTAATGTGAGCCAGGTTACCAGGATCTGAATTCAAACCCAGGACCTCTGCTGTGTCTGACAACGACTCTTCCTACTGAGCTTTCTGAAAGCTCCGGATAGCACCTTGCTTGATCTTTTGGTCAATCTTTGTTGATACCCTGTGTGCCCGCACTACATGGGTTAGTTGCTTGTTTTTGACTAGGGGAGAGGAGAAAGCAGATATACCTGTAGCAAACTTGCGCATCAGAGATGGACGCAGATTCCCCCTTTATTAAAAGTATTCATTTATCCCTTATTCTCTTTCCCCTCCCTTTCTGAGAGGCACCGTGACAGATGTGTGTGTGTTAAAAGTGTCACAGGCCAGATCCCAGCAGGGAGCCACATGGCACTGCACTGTGCAAAGAACCTGTGTAATTTCCCACCTCGGGAAAAAATAACGGAGCCTTCCCAAGAGTTCAAGGCATTCCCAAGAAGCACAAACCAGATAACATTTTTAAAAGATCCAGTTTTCCCCTATGTTTCATATCTTGAAATATGGAAGACTTACATAAAAACCGGGCACCTCGTCAGATGGCCAATACGCAGACTAACATTTTGATGGGTCACTCGTCCACCTCAGATCATCAGGGTAGCCAAAACATAGAACTCGTACACCGTGTAACGTACAATTTTCATAATTCATATCTACATGATCCTTAGACTTATCTGCATAATAAAATACCCGCGGAGAGATTGTCACTTGTGCAGCTGGGAAGTTATAGGTCAGAATATGAATTATGAGATGCTGATTCTAATTTTGGGTTCCGCCTGCCAATCCCTCCCTAAACAGAGTATTGGTCAGTTACTCAGAGCCACCCCCCCCGCCCCCCCCCCCCCCGCTGGGGGACTTTAAAAAACAGGCTAGCAGGCCTAAAGAAAAAAGTTAAAGACATCTCCCATTTTTAACATCAATACCACCTGGGAAGACCCTTTTGCTCTGCAACTTGGATCTGCTTACATCAAAGGCTTAAATGGCAAGTAACTTAACCCTTTAACTTCTCCCTGTTATCTCTTTGCTGTGCTATGGTTCTTTGTGTGTATATATATATATATCTTAGTTACATCTTTTTTCTGTAAATATTTTTTATTGCACCCTGTTTGACCTTTTAGTAATAAATCTTCCTTTCTGAAAGTGTTGAACTGTTTCTATAGCTTTTAATTGCAATTTACGAATCCCTGCCTTTTGAAGAGACGCTACTCTTTGTTTTAACCTCTGTATAACCGGCCTGCGGACCGTTTTATATAGACAATTATTTCAATCATCATAGTGTTATAGCTGAACCCCAAGTTTCCTCTTTTCTCGGTACAAAAAGGAGGTGGTGGCAGTGAATGGTTAGTTGCGTGATTAACCTGACCCAGTAACAAGTGCATCCAGGCTGCAGGCACAGATTGAAATCCATTAGCTGGAAAATCGCAGTGTAGGGTGCAGCTGGGTGTGGCATTGTTACGCACGTCACATCGCGGTTTGGAGTTCGGTCACGAGTTTGGTGAGAAGGTCTGGGGTCTGACGCCGCGATCGTGACCTATTGGATGTCGCGATCATGAGATTGTCGCATGTTGGTGGCGGCGATCTTGCGCCCGTGGCAATACCTACCTGATCCTCCAATCCTCTAAGCACAAGATCCCTGAAGGTGTGGCAGGTGTGCACCCCTTATACCCCATCCCCATGTGGTCTAGCGGTGTTGAACAATGGACTGTTCCTGATGTAATGAAGCCCAGAGCATGCTTCATAGAGCTGCTCTGAAAGTGAATATGCCAGAAACAGTCAACTGCTGGATGGTGGGGTAGCGCTGCCTGCTGGTGGAGTAGAGGATTGGGTGAGTTCAAGGCTTTCTGCAGGCATAGCCCCAGTGGAAGAGAAAACTTTTTTGTCCGGAGTTGGGCTTTAAAGTTTTTTAATCCTCAAACATGAATATGAACAAAGTATATCCCTCTATAGTAGGGGTAGTCAACCTTAAAGAGGTGGAAATCTACCTGAACAACATGGGAGAAGTCATAGAACACCGGGCACAGTGTTGCCCAGTGTCACCTCCTCACGCCTGATTTACACCTCTAATTGCCGTACTACCGTGAATTCACAAAAAGAGCATTGGGGAACTGGAGAAAGTACAGAGAAGGGCAACCAAACTGATAACAGGAATGGAGGAGATCAGCTATGAGGAAAGGAGGAAAGATTAGAGGAATTGAATTTATTCTTTCTTGAGAAGTAGAGATTAAGGGGGGATATGATCAACATGTATAAATACATCAGTGGTTCATATAGTGAACTCGGTGTAGAGCTATTCACCCTGAGGTCATCACAGAGGACAAGGGGGCACTCTTTTCATCTGGAGGAAAAGAAATGTAATCACCACATATGGAAAGGTTTCTTCACAGTGAGAGCTGTGAAAATGTGGAATAGACTCCCTCAAGACTTGGTTCTGTCCAGCTCAGTGGATTGCTTTAAAAAAGGCCTGGATTGTTTCTTAGATACACAGAATATAACTGGATACTAACATTTATAGGTAAAGTTGATCCTGTGAATATCCGATTGCCTCTCGGGGGATCAGGAAGGAATTTTTTCCCAGCAGGAGTAAATTGGATCATACTTTGCTGGGTTTTGTTGCCTTCCTCTGGATCAACTGTGAGTATAGGATTATAACTTTTTTTTATTGATGGCTGAACTGGATGGACTTTTGTCTTTTTTTCAGCCAGACTAACTATGTAACTATGTAATCGTGTCGCAAGTGCATCCATTGCACGGCAATCATGAGTTTAAATCAGGTGGGGAGGAGGCAACATATCACCTCCTCGCCACCTGTCAAACACACTTTTCAGAAGAACAGCAGTGCCTGCTGCACTTGTGAATAAGCCCTTAGTTGCATTCGGCTGTGGCACCCTTAGGGCTTGTTCACATGTACAGTTGGAGGGTGGTAAAACTCTGAGGCTGAGTCGCAGTTTTACCACCCGCAAACCCTACCCCCTTTAGCTGCTGAGGCAGAAGCCAAAGGTGTATACATGCTGCAGCAGGAACTAACCCCCCTTTTGCTAACCCCCTGTTGCTTTTCGTGGGTGCTACCACCACTTTGCAAGTGCCCCACAACTGCATGCTTCTGTGGGGACGAGGGGATTAACGCAGGTGGTGAGAAAGCAACACACTGCTGCCTGCATTAACCCCTTGTTTGCTGTACTGCACAAGGTTGCAGGGCACTTGCAGAGCGGCCTCATTCACAAGCATGGTCATGCTTGGCAGGTGCTACACCCACCAACCATGACAGCACATATAACTGCTGCTGCGGCATGTGTACACCCCTGGCCACTGCAGCTAAAGAGCGTGCGGTTGGGGCAGGGGTGGTAAAACATTTTAACTATGGGGTTATACCACCCCCAAACTGCAAATGTAAATGAACCCTTACTGTTCTGAGCCCCCTATAATGCTGCTTTTACAATGATGTGCTGTAGTTTACCTGCACTGTGGGTGCAGCACAGTGCATCTGTGACTTTCTTGGGTTAGCTGTGCTTTGCCACAGACTTCTATTATATCCTGCAGGTGTTGGGCACTTTCTGAAAGCATGCCAAAACTCCTGCATTCAGGAGTTTTGATGTGCTTTCAGAAAGTGCACCAAACCCGCAGGATATACCAAATGTCTGCAGCTAAGCACGACAAACCCGCAGGAAAACTACAGGAACACTGCACTGCACCCACGGTGTGAGTAAACCACAGCACATCAGCGTGAAAACCGCTCTATAGTGTGTACTCTTAACCACTTGAGTCCTGAGGATTTTAATTTGCGGTCATGCAATGCCACCCAAACAAAATTTACGTCCTTTTTTTCACACAAATAGAGCTTTCTTTCGGTGTATCACCTGTGCGCTTTTTATTTTTTCACGCTATAAACCCAAAAATTTTGAAGAAAAACAATATTTTTTACTTTCTGCTATAAAAAATATATAGTAAACTCAAAGTTGGTTATAAATTTTGGCCAAAATGTATTCTGCTCCACCCAATAAGTGTATATTGATTGCTGTGTGGAAGTTATAGCGTCTACAATCTATGGTATAAATACTGCAATTTACACCATTTTTCTGCTATACAGCGCTGCGCTAGTTTAACGGACAATTGCGCGCGGTCATGCAATACGGTACATAAATGAAATTTACATCCTTTTTTTCCCCACAAATTGAGCTTTCTTTTGGTGGTATTTTGATCGCCTGTGCGGTTTTTTCTATTTTTTGTGCTATAAAAAAAAAGGCTGACAATTTTGAGAAAAAAAAAACAATATTTTGGACTTTTTGCTATAAAACATGTCCAGTAAAAAAAAAAAATGCAAAAATCAAATTTAGTTATAAATTTCTGCCAAAAATGCATTCTGTGACATGTCTTTGCTAAAAAAAAAAACAATACGTGTAAATTAATTGGTTTAAGTGAAAGTTATAGCATTTACAAATGGCGGGAAAGATACTGGGATTTTTAATTTTTATTTATACTAATAATGGCGCCGATCAGCGGCATATAAGCGGCAATCAGATATGGCGGCGACCAGCGACTTATGGCGGGACTGCGGCGGACATTTTGACACTGGGGGGGAACTGACTTGGGGTCACTGACATCCCCAGTGACACCAAATACAGTGATCAGTGAAAAAAAAACACTGAACTGTACTAATGTCACTGGGGAGGAAGGGGTTAACATTTTTAGAATTTGCTGTGTAAGGGGAGTGTTTTACTAGGGGGCGGGGTGTGTACTGGACGGGGGAGGGAGGGGGGAGCTGATCCAGGGAGAGAAACTCTTCTCTCCCTCTGCAGCTTGTCGGCGAACTGCCACAGAGCAGGCTGTGTGTAAACAATGCAGCCCTGCTCTGTGTCAGTGATTACCGCTCATCAAAAAAGCTGGTAAATACCCAGCGGCGGAGACCGCTGCTGACACCCACGGGACAGGCAGGGCGGGCGCGCGCCCCCTACTGTTTTGAGGCAGCCGTTTTAAAACGTGCTTTTGCCTACGAGCGCCGCCCTGCCACCGTTTATATGCGGTGGCTGGGCGGCAGTGCCAGAGCACCAAGTGTTATTTCTGTCCGCTGCCTCATTCCTCTGCTATAAGCATGAGTCACTTCTGACAAGTATTTCTGACACCAAGAGAAAAAAATGTGACAGGGAGGGACCTCCAGCAGATGGACAGCCTCACCTCTGTTCCTGTAAGCTGTGTGAAGCTGGGTGTGTCAAATCCCTCCAATCAGCTCTCAGAGCTCTCCTCACTGATGTAACTTCAGCTCCCACCCCCTGCTTTTCAGAGCTGAGAGATCCTGTGTAAATTCTTCACTTTAAATGGCTGTAGGGGAAAAACGGCTGTAGATAAACAGGAACAATTGGTGTAGGAGGAATTCTTTCATCTCTGTGTACCACCTGAGGCCAGTCATTTTACTGGGTATTTGTGGGGGTTTACACAAAGTTATCTTATGTGTCTATGCACACACAGACCTGAAGACTTAGTGGCAGGGGCTTTTAGGAGCTGTAAAAAAAAAAAACCTACTGTCAGTGCGTCAAGGAGCAGCAGCATTTTGGCAGAAAAAACAGTTGACGTGTGTAAATGCGTGTAAAGGCATCTAAATGTGCCAAAATGTGCGTTAACGCTGGCGTTAATTCATTTCATTCTGGTTAATGAAATGAATTAATGCCCAAGTGCATGACACCTGTAAATGCACTTAAATGCTTGTAAAAGCGTCAGGTGTGTTTTCTGTCAAAATGCTGCTGCCAAGAGAAGCAGCGTTTTTAAAACGCCCTGTGTGCAATGAGGCCTAAGTCATGCCTTTGCACCTTTTCCTTTTTGCCAGATTATTGTGTTTATGTAAGTAACTTACTTTTTGTTGATATATTGCTACTTGTGGAAAGCCTTCCCATAAGAGTGGGGGATGTTAGAGCCCCAAAGGGGGCAACTCCATATTAGTGGAATGGGATGTCTAACAAGCTCATATAGGTGTGATGGTCAGCTGTGCTGACTTTTTTGAAAATTTCACATACCTTTTGCTTTTTCTTTATATTTATATATTTGGAATATTTTTTAGCTCCTGTCCCTCTGTCTGCACTGTATCCCATGATATGAAATTTCAACCTAACCACTTGCCCCAGAAGGATGTACCAGTACATCCCCTGATTTCAGTGGTTCTACCAGAGTCATGGCTGCAGCTGCAGTTATGACCCTGGTATCTTTTGTTTTCTTTTCCAGCCGGCAATTCTCTATAATGTAAAAGTGATCTGAGTTGCTACACACAAGCTATCACAAGGAATGTTGTTGATAGCAATAAAGTTGCTAAAAAGAAAAAATTAAAGTGAAAGTGTAAAAAAAAAAGTTATATTTAGTACCATAATTTGTCACCATTCCCCGGGCATGCACAATTTTAAAGCGTGACATGTTAGGTATCTATTTACTCGGTGTAACATCATCTTTTATAATGTACCAAACAATTGGGTATTATATTGTGTTTGTGTGCACTGCATTTTGTTAAAGTGTATTTTTTCCCAAAAATTTGTGTTTGAAAAACTGCTGCACAACTATTGTGCGACATAAAAAATTGCAGCAACCAACTTTTTTTCTCCAGTCCCGTTGCTTTCAGAAAATATACCGTGTTTGGAGGATCTAAGTAATTATCTAGTAAAAAAAAAAAATGCTGAATTTACATGTATGAGAGAAGAGTCATTATTGGCCTGTGACCAAGTGGTTACATTAAAGTGGAACTTCAATCTCTCAATCAACATTGACTATTTTTAATCCTCATGCTGCCAGCATTAGTTAATAGATAGGAAAGTATATAATTATTACTTGTTTTACACTTTTTTTTTTACATTTCTTCAGTTACTTCCTGGTTTCCATGCCTAGACAAATGATGTCATAGATTCCAGGAGTCTTCAGGAGGGGTTTTCTCAGCTAAGCACACCCTTTTGCCTGCATACCTGAGCTAAGAGAGGATAGATTCCATGAAGTAAATGCTACATGAATCATCTGCCCTTACTCAAGATGGCCACAGCCAGAAATGCTAGGAGGTGTTTTTCAAGGTGATTTCCCAGCAAAATAAAGCAAAGAGACATGGATGGATGGGCGAGTTTGCTTTGAATATTAAAAATGAATTAAATAAGAGTTTTTGGTTTGTGGTGCTCAGATATAGTGTAGTTCCACTTTAAGCCATAGATCTGGTTCCCTGTATACAGCATTATTAACATGACTTTACTGAAGCATTTATCATTATATACAATAAAAACCAGAAGTCTTTCGTTTTGCAAACTGTGCAAAATTAACTATCCCCTGCCCTATTACATTTTTTCAATTCATTGAACAGGTACAATTTGCTGATTTAACATAAGGAACCTGGTTCACACCTTGGCAGTCAATAATGTAGGTCTGGTCTCCAGCAGTAAAAGGAATCGTTCCAGTGGGGTCGGCCAAGTAGATTGACTCCAGATCTGATGATTGAATGGTAGCATTCATGTTCTCTGTGTTCTAGAAGAATAGAGATAGACAGGAGATTCATTATCCTGTGTGACAAATACTGTAGCATCCAACCAAAAAAATGTGCCCACACTGGGACATAAATCATACAATAGAGCAGTGCCTATTCTGCAAGGTGATATGATATCTGCAAAGTGCATCTGCTCTTTTACCAATAGTCATGCAAAGACAGATAGTAAAGAATCCACTTAATAATGGAGGCATGGTCTGGCACTGGATGGTTTTTATACCTCACAATCAAACTGGTATCTAATCCTTGAATTAACAATCAACTAAACTCTTAACCACAACCCTTCCACATCAGCCTTATCCTCATCACTAACCTAGATCATTTACTCCCACCTCAACTTCCCATCTTCACCTGATCCACTGATTCATTTTAATCCTTAACCTATTTTATAAATCTAATCCATCTTCAACCTAGCACTCCACCTAAAGCTAAACTCAGGTCAGCTGATAAAAATCTCTTTTTGTTAGCCCATCTAAGATGATAATGAGGTTTGATGAACCCCAAAAAACTGAGTGGAGAGAATAGAGAACCATACTGAACATAATGCCTTCCTCCTTTCTTCAAAAGTCAGTGACAAAACAACCAGATTTAGATTTGGTGCCGGAGGTACCCGAGACACATTGCATATAACCCCCAACGAAACACTGTGCAGTTTAAGACACATCTAATACAAGCAGGACATCATAAATCCCATTAGACATTCATGGTATAGCATCTTTGAAAGGACACAGAACCAATTCCATTAAATACCATTAAGCAGAATCTGGAAGCCCAAAACTGGTAATGAGCTTTACTCTAGCTCTACTTGGTAAAACTGCCCTTTTCATACATCTCCAGCTCTCAGATTCTACACAAAATTCATAATCCCTGTTATTGTGAAATTGCATTCATAAATACTGTTGACCCCAACTGTATATGAAAATAACAATCAAGTAGGTACCAAACATGCCTATGCTATAATGCTTAGAAGGTTAATTGGTCACATTAAAGCAGAACTAAAACCAGTATACTTGCCCCCTCTCTAACGTCCATAGTCCATGAGGTGTTCCTCACCGCTGCCAGCATCTTCTCCCCAAGAGTCCATCTTCAGGCATATTTACTAGCCAGCGCGGCATGATGTAATTCCTGCGCATGCACAGGAGTCAGTCATCTCACCACACAGGGACCATGCAACCAATGTAGGCAGAGCTGCACATGTGCAGCTCAATTTACATGCTGCAGAATGCTGTGAGCAGGCAGGTCGGTGTATTTATTGCAGAAGAGACAGTGGGGTTGATTTACTAAAACTGGAGAGTGAAAAATCTGGTGCAGCTGTGCATGGTGGCCAATCAGCGTCTAAGTTCAACTTGTTCAGTTAAGCTTTAGAATGAAACCTGGAAGGTAATTGGTTTCTATGCAGAACTGCACCAGATTTTGCATTCTGCTGTTTTAGTAAATCAACACCATTGCGTGTCTCTAATGCAATAAACAGCCTGCCCGCTCACAAGTTTTATTAAAGAGCCTTCAGTTCCACTTTAGAACCTTTAGGTGTTATAGGCATCCAATATATGTCATGTCTGGTCTTTATCAATTTATGATTTCATTGTAATTATTATGTTGGTTGTTGGACTGCAAAACCTTAACATCTAGAAATATTGATATAGTATAGTTTGAATTACTGTCATTAGGAGAGTGTATGCTAAAGTTTTTAAAAACATTACAACACCCCTCAGCACAATCCTCAGACCTTTTAATTTATTATGTAATTTTGGTAAGCACCTTCAACAAAAACAACTGCTGAAATTAGCAGCTGTATCTCTAGTTTTCCACTAAAATGATAAAGGATTATTAATGGTCATTCATGAGAGCCAATTACCTTAATGCATCAAAGTAGACTTGCCCTGCAATGGATTGGACTGGAACCAAAGAACAGGTAAATGTTTGCTAAGTACATTTTATTTTTTATTCCTACATCCTTTACTGCTGTTTTGTCTGTTTCATAATATCTATCCTATAAATACTTTTTCTTTTCATTCAATTTTTTTTTTTAAATTGTTAAGATGAGTCTCTATGAATGTTTTTTAAAGTGATTGTAAAGGTTCTTTTTTTAAAATAACAAACATGACATTGGTTTTGCACAGAGTGATCTGGATCCTCCACTTCTGGAGTGCCCCACTAGTGCTCTGGGCTGCTCCTCTCCTCCACGTGCCATCACAGGAAGCCGCTTTCTATGACAGCACACATGCAGGCTCGATCCTGAGCCGCACTGTGTGTCTATTGACACATAGTCAACTGGCTCAGCCATGCCCCCTGCACCCTCATCACTGAATTTGATTGATAGCAGCAGGAGACAATGGCTCCAGCTGCTCTCACTGAGGAGAGAGAGAGCTGCTGCTCTTGGGCTCACTACTTGATCGAGATCTGGCTCAGGTAAGTATTTAGGAGGGCTGGGGAGGACTACACTTAAAAGTTTTTTTTACCTTGATGCAGAAAATGTAAGATAAAAAACCTGAAGCCTTTACAACCACTTTAACTATTACAGGCGAATGTTCTTAATTGCTTTTTTTCTCTTAGGATCGAATGTTAAGAAATATTTAATTCACCCGGTGAAAGACAACAAATATAGACTGGCATTATATGTAGATTACAAGATTAAAATCATTACAGGTATTATTCATTAGGTTAGCGCAAATGAAACATTGTTCATAAATAGACCCTTAGGTGTCATTCTTCCAAAAGACTGGGGGCAACCTGTGGTGGAAAAGAAATACTATGAGGGACAGCTCTTGATTAAAGGTAGAAATGACAGTATAGTTGCATTTTTGTTTTTATTGCTTGCTGGAGGGGTTTTGAAAAGGAAAAAAAAAAAAGAGTTTGATATTTCACTTACCGGTTGCCCATATTCAGTCCAGGTACTAGACTCATTCTTCCAGTACCAACACCACTCAGTGGTCAGTACGTATTCAGGGGGCTGGGTCACAGATGACGGGGTGGTAAGCCTGCGGACTGCCTGGGTACCAGATATCATGGTCTGAAAGTTGATCAGCACTCGGTACCTGCAAAGCCAAGAAAGTGGAAGTAAACTCACACACTGACAATAAAATCAGTATTAGTGGGCCATAAATTTGTATCTATAGAAGAGATCATTAACATTAAAGGATTCAAGGTCTTATTTAACAATACCATGTTGTCTAGGGTGGAATTTTTCTTCTATAATTTGTAACATATACATTACAAGGTGGTGAATTTGGGTTGTTTAAAAGTAACATGAGATACCTGTCAATCTTTGGATCGCTGTAAGCCTTTTCGATATCCTCCATATTAGGGAGGTCATCCCAATCCCTTCCATTGAACACCTGCCAGCGATACGGTAAGTAGTAGTGCATGTTAGGGCATTTACCTGTGAACCAAGAAAAACACCAACTGTCATCTCTAGAAACGTCTTAGATCTTTTTACAAAACAAGCAGGAGAAGAGTCACTGGCTACTCACTTTCCAGACTGCAGTGCTTCCAGATATTGGTGAGACAAATTTCTGGTGTTTTTTTTTCCAGCGATGCTAAAGTAAAAGCAAAAAGAAAAATCACCTCTGCATCAACAAATTTCTCAAAATGGAACACTTTTACTAAATATTTAAAAGGTTTTGAACAAAATGTAGAGGCTTAGTCCTTTAGTGACCTAAATCATTGATGCCTAAATGTCCAGACATAATAGCAGCATCACTATGCCTCAGATAAGTTGGCCAAATTGCAACATCACTATGCTTTAGTTAGTTGGCAATAACTTTATCACAAAAAGGTTCCTTTCACACAGGGCGGACCTGTCAGTGGATCCGCTTGCTCAGTGGGGGATCTGCCCGCTGATCCCTGCTGAACAAGCGGATGACAGGTCTGTGTCCGCTCCCCCCTTATGCAGAGCAGACATGGATACAGCCCACTGTCCTCTATGGGCTGTCAGATGGAAACGGGCCGCTTGTCCGTTTCCATCCGACTGTCATAGAGAGCAATGGAGCGCCCGATCGAGTCCACTTGAAAAACAGGTGGACTCGATCGGTCTGATCATGTGAAAGGGGCCTAAATGTTTTACATTGTCTTAAGGAGCTCTATCTGATGGAGAGAAATTCTGATGAAGTATCCACACATTCTTTATATGGGGCAATCTTTATTACTGGTCCACTTTTAAATAAAGATATTTTACCCTCCCATAAAAACTTGTCCCATCTACTTACATTTCCCAGGTGATACGGAAGGAATAGTGGTGGCTGGCTGAGGTTTTGTAGCTGTAGAGTTGTTTGCCTTTAGTGGTTGACAAAAGAAATCAAAATCTTCATGAGTTTGTGAATATTGGGCTCCACCTGTTGTGTTGGTTTTTATGACTGGTTTCACATTAGCTTGAATTTTCCTGGAGGGCGTGTCAGCTTCAACTAAAACATTAAATGAACTTAAATTTGAAGATGCTCCCATATGGTCAGATGTGGCTGGTTTGGGTTGAGTGACAGAAGTCATTTCTGTGGTAGTGTACAAAGATGTCTTTGGCATCGTTGGTGGAGCAATGGATAGCCTTGCCATTGAAGAATCCAATGCCTTCCTCAGTGCCATATCTGTTTTTTTAGCAGATAGACATTTTGTTGAAGTGATATCTGAATTGTTGGATACTGTTAGAGATGGACTGAATCTCGCTTCAGCACTAGATGAATCCCCTTTAGAAAGGTGCACCTGTCTGTTGAATATTGATGAAGTCAATGCATTAATTGGCTTTGGTGGCACTGGTGGATATTTCCTTGAAGGATTAAATGATGGGCTTGAAATTGTTGATGGTTGTGGTGAAGTAGTGTTTTGGGACACTCTTCAAGGTTGTAAGCATTGGCCTGTTAAATATTCTAGAAGGAACTTCTAGTCTCTCCTGTGCAACACCTGGAGAGGGTGCATGAGAGTGGGGCTGATACGATTTAAGAAGTGGCACTGGTGTTGCACCAGCAGTATTTGGTGAAACATAATCAGCTTTCAGGGTGCTATATGCTCTAGAGACCTCAGAGGTTATTCTAGAATTTATCGACTCAGTTGACTGGACAGGGGTTTGGGACATTAATGGCTTATCAGGTCTGGATAACGTCACATAGCCTTTACAAGGTAGTACAGATCTTGTCCCTTCTTGTGGTGTAACCCCAACAGATCTAACTTGTGCTTTTCTGGCTGCACTGTATTTGCGGTAAACCAATCATCCATTAGATTGTCAAGCCTTGTTTTTGAATATCTGCCATGGTCACTACTACTGTCACTATCGTTGTAATCTTCATCACCTGAGCGATGTCCCATGTTAAACTGCGATGGTGGGCGGCTGTTTGAACGCCAACGAGGTTGGAATCCTAAAGGTTTTGAAAATAATACAAATTAAATTGGAACTCCATCCATAAATGTAATGCTGTTTCTAGGAAGGGAAAGAAAAGTTAAGAATTCATACACTCTATTAAGAGACTGGTGGTCTTGTAGCTATATACAATTGGTAAGTAGGAAAAAGGGGGACTATAATCCTTCATATTAAATTGCTGTTTTCTCCTGGCTGAAATTCAAAACTAGATTGGCAATCTGACTTATTGTCCTGACTGTTAAAGCAAACAGGGTAAGAAAAATGATTCTCTTACTGGAGTTTATTTAAAATTCACAGTCTCACGTTTCAGGAACTTAGGGTGGTATCATAAACAGTTGCTAATGTAATTGCCCTGTTGCAAGGTACAATATCAGAGGTTATGACGGCATATACAGTTTCAGGGAAAATGTTGTCTGATAAACATAAGCGTGGTCGCCATGGTCAACTGACCGAAAGAGACAAAAGGACATAGTGCAGGATTGTGACCCGGAATAAGAAAACAACTGCTGCCAAAGTGAGTGCAGAACTCAATCACTGTCTCCACGGGAATGAGACACGGCAAATAAATCGGCAACTTCAGTCACAGAGGCCCCAGCTGAGCGGCACCAACAATTTGCCCTCTTTGAAGCTCAGTAAGCTCTGACATGACTCCATATTACTAGCAGGGCACATAGTGAATGATGAAAGTGAGGCTTCCCATCTGTTAGCTAGGTGTCTCATCACACAGCAGAAGCAAAACAATGTTACATCACTTCCGCTTTCAATGTGAAACATGTCGTCACTTTCACACCTGCAAATCATGTAATGTTTTCTTTTTCTTGTCTTAAACCCAGTATATATTTGGAAAAAATATATTTATATAAACGCTTTTGTGCCCTGAGTTGAGCTTTAGGTATCGGTGAGATGTTAATAAGCCTTTGGTGTCTATGTCAGTACCTTCACTACTTCTGTCTCTTCTCCTACTGTCCAGCAGGTCCTGAGATTCAGCTCTTCTTCTATATCCTGGCCTTCCTCTCCCTCTGCCCCGCGACATCCCTCTCGCATCCCTGAGCTCCTCATTTCTCGACCCCTCACTCAGTGCCTGTTGCTTCTCGATGCTTTTCAGCATGCAGAGCATCTGAAAGTTTTGAATGTTCTGCTGGCTCAGCCAGTCGCAGTTGAGCAGTAATTTAGACTGCAGGAGATTGTGCGGTTTTCTACAGACACGCCGGTTGCAGCCATCATGTGTGAAGAAACTGCACACATGGAGACGAGTACAATCCTCTCCCTGATCACAGCTGTCCAGCTTGTATTTATGACAGTTCTGCAGGGAAAATGAAGAAACACTATTAGAGCAGTTTTATAAAGTGGCACTCATAATTGTACTATTGGTGAAGTAGAAACAGATAAGAAAGAAAATAACCCTCTGCCACCGACATCCACTGCTGTGGCCCTTTAGGTACATGTCTAGGGTTTAGTTATAGGGGCTTCTAACATTTGTCTTTCCAACAGTGATTTTTAACTCTAGAGCAACTTTTCCCAACCTTTTTAACACAGAGGAACCCTTGAATAAACCTACAGGTCTCAGGGAACCCTCCTATTCTTTAATCTGCTGCTCACTGGACATTAAGGTGATCCCCCAACAACTATCAGTCCCTACCCTCTGAGTTTGCTAGGTGTAATCCTGAATTCTGACCTGTCCTTTCTGCCTCACATCCAATCATTGTACAAAATCTTATTGCCTTTACCTCAATGATATTTCCAAAATACGAGTCTTCTTAAAGTGATATTAAAGACAATTACAACAAAAAAAAATACACGCAAAAGTTTATACTTACAGTACCTGCTCTGTGCAATAATTTTACAGAGAACAACACCGATCCTCCTCTTCTTGGGTACCCCGCTGGCACACCTGGCCCCTCCCTCCTGCCTAATGGCCCCAGAGCAAGCTGCTTGCTATAGGGAAACCCAAGCAGGCTCACTACCAAGCTGCTGCTCTGCGTGTCCATTCACACACAGAGTGCAGCTTGACTCCGCCCCTGCACTCTCCTTACTGGCTTACTGAATGTGACTGATAGTAGAAGAAGCCAATGGCTCCCACTGCTGTCTCAGCCAATAGGGAGGGAGAGTCCTAGAAGAGCAGCTGCTCTTGTGCACATCGCTGGATCCAGAGGCGGATCAGGTAAGTATTAGGGGGGCTACTGTACACAGAAGGTTTTTTACCTTCATGCATAGAATGCATGAAGGTAAATAACCTTGAGCCTTTACAACCACTTTAAACAATGACACCACCAAGCTACTTATTTTCTTTCTCTTGTTATCTCTCACCTTGATCATCGCAACTCCGTCCTCACTGGCTTACCTCTACACAGGCTATTCCCCTTTCAGTGTATCATGAATAGTGCTGCCAGACTCATCCACCTCACCAACCACTCACTGTCCACTGCTCCTTAATGCCATTTGCTCCACTGGCTTTCACTCACCCAAGCAAATAAGATTCATAATAATAGCAACAACATACAAGGCCATCCACAACTCTGTCCTGAACCCCATCATCAATGTTTTTCCCACAATATCACCCAAATCATACTCTTAGCTCCTCCTAAGACCACTTACTTTCTAGCCCCTTCTAACCTCCTCCCATTCGCACCTCCAGGAATTCTCTAGTGTCTCTCCCATCCTCTGGAACTCCCTACCCCAATCTATCCAGCTATCTCTTACTCTGTCTATCTTTAGGTGATCTCTGAGGGCTCATTCAGATTGGTGCTGAGACCTGTACTTTCTCCCTTTATATTGTAAAGCGCTGTGTAAACTGTTGATGCTATATAAATCCTGTATAATGTGAATAGGAGGTTGTGGATATAAGAAAAAAATAAAAACAAGGATTGTGGCCTGAATGATACACATGTCTGTTCTATGCAACAAAATTATTTTCAGTGGTCATAAAAATTAAATGAAACAAATAATAATAATGGCGATAAAAGAAATACATACCTTGATAAAATATTCATTCACCTTGAAATTTTCCATATTTTGTCATGTTACAACCAAAAACGTAAATGTATTTTATTGGGATTTTATGTGATAGACCAATACTAAATGGCATATAAATGTGAAGTGGAAGGAAAATAATAAATGGTTTTCAAAATTTTTTACAAATAAATATTTGTAAAGTGTGGTGTGCATTTGTATTCAGCCCATCTTTTTCTACAATTACAGCTGTATGTTTATTTATTACAGGTACTTATATAGTGCTAATCCCCAATCCTCAAGGGGTGTACAATCTAAGGTCCATAACTAACATTCATACATACACATACTAGGGCCAATTTAGACATGAGCCAATTAACCTACCAGCATGTCTTTGGATTTTGGGAGGAAAACCGGAGTACCCAGAGGAAACCCACAAAAAGCACAGGGAGAACATGCAAACTCCAGGCAGGTGGTGCCGTGGCTGGGATTCAAACCAACAACCCTGGTACTGCCAGGCAGAAGTGCTAACCATTTAGCCACTGTGCTGCCCAAGTGTTTTTTGTCTCTACCAGCTTTGCACATCTACAGAGTGGCATTTTTGCCCATTCTTCTTTGCGAAATAGCTCAAGCTCTGATTGAATAGAGAGCTTCTCTGGACAGCAAATTTCAAGTCTTGCCACAGATTCTCAATTGGATTTTGGTCTGGACTTTGACTGGGCCATTCTAACACATGAATATGCTTCGGTCTAAACCATTCCATTGTAGCTCTGGCTGTATGTTTTGGGTCGTTGTCCTGCTGGAAGGTGAACCTCTGCCCCAGTCTCAAGTCTTTTGAAGACTCTATCAGGTTTTCTTCTAAGGTTGCCCTGTATTTGGTTCCATCCATCTTCCCATCAACTCTGACCAGCTTCCCTGTCCCTGCTGAAGAAAAGTATTCCCACAATATGATGCTTCCACCACGTTCAACAGTGGGGATGGTGTGTTCAGGGTGATGTGCAGTGTTAGCTTTCCGCTACACATAGTATTTTGCTTTTATGCCAAAAAGTGCAATTTTGGTCTCATCTGACCAGAGCACCTTCTTCCACATGTTTGCTGTGTCCCCCACATGGCTTCTTGCAAACTGCAATTAGGGACTTCTTATGGCTTTCTTCTTGCCACTCTTCCATAAAGGCCAGATTTGTGGAGCGCACTATTAAGAGTTGTCCTGAGGACAGATTCTCCCACCTGAGCTGTGGATCTCTGCAGCTCCTCCAGAGTTACCATGGACTTCTTGGCTGCTTCTCTGATTAATGTTCTCCTTGCCCGGCCTGTCAGTTTAGGTGGACGGCCATGTCCACCTAAACTGACATTATGTTGGTAGGTTTGCACTTGTGCCATACTCTTTCCATTTTCGGAGGATAGATTGAACAGTGCTCTGTGAGATGTTCAAAGTTTGGGAACCGAATCCTGCTTTAAACGTCTCCACAACTTTATCTCTGACCTGTCTGGTGTGTTCTTTGTCCTTCATGATGCTGTTTTTTGTTCACTAATGTTCTCTAACAAACCTCTGAGGATTTTAAAGAACAGCTGTATTTATACTAAGAATAAATTATACACAGGTGGACTCTATTTACTAATTAGGTGACTTCTGAAAGCAATTGGTTCCACTAGATTTTAGTTAGGGGTATCAGAGTAAAGGGGGCTGCATACAAATGCACACCACACTTTTCAGATATTTATTTGTAAAAAATTTTGAAAACCATTTATTATTTTACTTCCACTTCACAATTATGTGCTACTTTGTGTTGGTCTATCACATAAAA